AATGGTGAGATTTGTCATCCACGTAACATAGATCACGCATATCTTCCCATTCTTGTTCCGCATGAATAGGAATCTACTCATCTATTTTCCCGGAGAAGAAACGACATCAAGGAAGTGCTTCAAGGGATTAAAGATCGAGGCTTGAAAATGACCATAGAGTACGAACTCACGGACTACCTGAGCTGTGGATTCGGATGAATCCCCGAAAGATGCTGCATGGGTGGGACAACCCAACATGATAAAGAAGATTAAAACCACATTCGGAGCAGGAGGTACAGAAGCTACCCAAGTACAAGACTGCGGGAAACCTGGACTCGGAATAGTAAAGACAGACGAACAGAGTGAAAGGATCGCTGAGAACAACAGAGCAGATATCGAACAGGTAGGCATGCTCATGTACCTTATCAAGCATTCAAGGCCAGAAATCTCGAACGCAGTACGAGAGCTAGCTAAGGTCTTGGGATGCGCAACGCGGCAGCGTACAAGGAAATGCTACGCTGTGTAAAGTACGTGTTGGACTCAAGAAACGTGGACTTTTGATGAAACCTAGAGAAGAACGAAGGACCGTGGAAATTGGAAGTATCTCGGATCGGATTGGCCGGAACAAGAAACAACAGAAGATCAGCACGTCCATATGATCTTTCTCGAAGGTGTGCTCATTCACTGGAGGTCCAGCTACAGAAGGTCGTAGCATTGTCGAGTTCCGAAGCTGAGTTTACGCGTGTGGCGAAGCAGTACGAGAAGTCCCTTCATTCGCGCAGATTCTGAAGTTCCTACAGATCAAGTGGAACTACTGTGCAAGTGAAGATCGAAACGTAGGTGCTATCTTTATGTCAGAGAACAGACAAGTGCAAGTCGAAAAGGCATATGGATACGAGTGGCATACGTGAACCAAATGCAGCAGGACGGCCTAGAGAAGATGATTTTGTTCGCTCGGAAGAAACGTGAGGACATTGGAACCAAGAATGTCAACGTGAGACCTCGACAGACATGCACCAACTAACAGGAGACAAGGAGCATTGTTTTGAGTTGGTGAAGAGAGGTCGCTCCATCATCGCGAAAACAGGAAGAGGTGTCAGAAAGTATTTCGTATGACGGACAGACGATCGGGATCCACAATCACGGTTCGTTGATTTGGGATGTGTGACTAAATCAGATGGTTATCCGTCATCATCAGATGGCCAGGTGTACGAGAACGAGGACAATGGTCGTCTAAGATGCAACTACAAAAGGCTAGGAAGTAGTCGAGAGAGATAATACAAGGAGCGACGGGATGGTAGCAAAATGAATGGACGGATGAAGGTCCATAGTTAGTAAAGTGGGAAGCCTCCAGGGCCAACCATGCACTTCAGGAAGATAGATCGACGAGATCTATCTTGTAGATGAAACTGCGAGAAAGCAGAGGATCGAAAGATCCTGGTATATGTATGCATATCGGAGCTCAGTTGTAGAGCTCACAATCTGAACGAGAGAGAAAGAGAAAACGAAACGAATAGCCAGTCTACTAGACAGTAGAGCTGGAAGGATATTGATTAAATTAGAGAAATTGTGCGTTCAAGTTCACACCTTTTCAACACTCGGTACTCGCATCGATCGATCGATCCAAGCCACTTTTATGGTCCTCTTTTTCATTATTTTGATACCTCTATCTTTACTCTATCAAGATTATGCTTCCGCCTCTATAGCGCTTGGTGGGTAATTACTGCAGTAATTCCTGGTTACTGGTTACTTACTGTACTTTTACTGCCTTTATTGGCCAGTAGTTACTGCAGTCAGTAATTCCTGGCAGTAATAAATCTGCCAATTCAACAGTAATTGACAGTAAATGACAGTAAAAGCACAGTATTCTCCCTATTTTACTGCAATTACTGTGATTTACTGCCTTCAAATGGCTTTAAATTACTGTACCTGATTACTGCTACTGAGGAATTACTGCATTACTGCCATTACTGCTACTGTTTGGCCCCTCCAGTCAGTAATCAGTAAACAGTAAATACCAACCAAGCTATAGCGGCTACTCCTCTTAACAAAGGCTACTACTCACCACCATGACTTAACGCTCGGAGTCCCAAAATCTGGGAGACCCCACTCCCAGATTCTGGGAGTGGGGTCTCCCAGAATCTGGGAGTGTCTACAGGTAGGTGTGGTAAATATTGGGTCAGATTTCTATTTTATTCCCGCATCTACCTGAATATCCTGTCTTCCAGGAAAATCAATGCCTTCGAACTTCGAATTGTCGGTTGATGGTTGATGAGTCTGCCTGCCGATGCCATACATGTACATGTACAAAAGAGGTTCTGTTGAACCGGAATCAAAGAAGGCGTCCCTTGTTGCATTAGTAGTAGTGGCTTGTTGTTTCATTAACGGTAGAGGCGTGGGTACGCCGTCGTTCCGTGGAAGAGGAGGTGTCATGGTCGCTCCGATCGATCGCTCCGTGGAAGAAGAAGAAGAAGAAGAAGTCGAACGACCGATCGTCGAACGGCTGCCGCTGCCTCTAGCCAAGCAAGAGGAGCCTGTCATGGTGGTGAGTAGTAGCCTTTGTTAAGAGGAGCAGTCGCTGTAAAGAGGATAGCATCATCTTGATAGAGTAAACATACTAGTAGTGTAAAGGTGCTGGTAGTGGTACCGCGGTATCGAGTTCGCAGGGGTGACTCCCAAAATCTGGGAGACCCCACTCCCAGATTTTGGGAGTGGGGTCTCCCAGATTTTGGGAGTGGGGTCTCCCAGATTTTGGGACTCCGAGCGTTAAACAGGCTCCTCTTGGTTGGTTGGTAGCGGCAGCCGTTCGACGGATCGATGACAGGAGCTTCCGTTCGACGGATCCGTCGACCAATGACTTCTTCTTCCACGGAGCGACTCCTCTTTCACGGAGCGACCATGGGCGACCACAACAACAAGCGACACCTCAACAATGGTACTGGAGACTACTACCGGCGGCAATAAGTACTGGTATTAGCTAGCTGTAGTACGGTACAGTATCAGTACTATTAATAGTATGAATTCTGAAAATAAATGTCGTCATGTGGGACTCACCGAATGACGACGCGATTAAAATTCTGAAAAAGTCGTCATGTGGGACTCACGGAATGACGACGCGATTAAAATTCTGAAAAAGTCGTCATATGGGACTCACCGAATGACGACGCGATTAAAATTCTGAAAAAGTCGTCATGTGGGACTCACCGAATGACGACGTGACTCGATTCGTCCAAATGTCGTCATATGAGAATGCCCAAATGACGACTTTAAAGATTTATCCATTTTACCTCACTTGGAACGAACCTTAACAACGGTTCTTCTGGCATGACTGTATGCAAATGACACTGCGATAGAGTACGGGTACGGATACCGGTATTTTTATTTTATGTAGTCCAGCAGGGACTGCTTCGGGTTTCAACCAGAAAGAGAATGACGGAAAACAGTTGACAAAGATGCAGGCAACACGCCCTCGATGAGAAAATGTGGGATGTCTCATTTCCCCGCACTTTGACTGTCGATCCTCACTTTTTCTTCGAATTTCGCGGAAGACTCGGAATTGGTCCAAGAAGACCTCGAAACGAAAAAGCCAAGAGAGGGAGCCACAACTACCGGTAACAGTACATGTACTAGCTAGTATGCACAGAAAGTAGAAAGCTGGGAGCCATTTTTCCAGTAAGTGCGGAAGTGTTGTGGTACGGGTACGGTGCCTGTGTGTTGCATTGCCAGTTTGATTTGCTGGTTGCCCCTGGACTACCGTATGATATGATTTGATTCCTGGTATCTTCCGTCTTCCGCCAACTTTGTTTCTTTGTTTTGCCTCATACAAGTTTTGATGTTTTGGGTATCACAGTATCACAAAAGCAAAGCAACCAATGTCTTCCATAAAAACGTTTCCACATTCTCATAAACTACTTCTCACAACAATCTGTTCTTTGGCAATACATGTAATGTTCTCTCTGTCAGGATTGATGACTAGCACAACCGCTCTCGCCATGGAGCCAAAACCAGGCCTCTCGGCCGTCTCGTCTTCTTCCTCTCTGGCCGCGATGATCAAAGAAGAACTCCAAGAAGTCGTTCCGCAAGTGAAACCCCGCCATTTTGTCTTTGCCTACGGATCCCTCATTTGCCGCAAATCCCGGGCCATTACGGCACCCACATTGGCCGACAAGGAAGCCATTCCGGTTCAAATTCAAGATGTCGAACGCATGTGGGCCAAACGAACCCAACGAGGCATGACGGCCATGGGAGTCCGCTTTCGTCCCGGGGCCGTATGCACCGGAGTGCTCTTGCCTGTGACCGACTCGGAGCTCAAGCGCTTTGATCAACGTGAAATGGGCTACGATCGCTATCCAATTCCATTGGAAAACGTCGAGGAAGTGCCGTTTTTGGTGAAACAAAAGCACTACGAAAAGATGGACTATGAGCTGGCCGACGTCGTCTTTGATTCGACGACGGAGAATGAACCGGAGGAGCTAGACAATAATAACCAAACAGAAGTCTTTGTGTGGATCTATGTCCAACGATACGACTGCCCTGCCAACGAAGACTTCCCCATTGCCCAATCCTATGTGGATATCATTTTGCGTGGTTGCATGGGCATTTCCAAAGACTTTGCCCGCTCCTTTATTGAAACCACCGTCGGGTGGACTCCAGAAGAAATCTATGGCGAAGGCAATGACGACGATCCCGTCAATGACTCGGATGAAGAAGAAGAAGAGGTAGACGATGACAAGGAAACGGTTCCTCCTGGTTGCGTCCCTCGTGACAGTGGTAGCAAAATAATGGTCGAGCCAGAACCGGAAGAAGGTCCCACGTGGGTGGATGATCGCGACGAACCAATCTACATGCGGGCGGACCCAGTGTATTCGGAAAAGAAAGCCGATATGATTGATCAGCTGTTGGAAGATCACGTTCCGGAACAGTTGGACAACCGAGAACCAGTCAATGACGACGATGATAATGAAGGATCAGTTGACGACGGAGGTCTTGCCTAGCACAAGGGTGGTGATGTATGTTTTTTGGTACTGGTATTGAGGAGTAGGAGGCTGATGGAAACCGAGTTCTTTAGCCCCACAACTTGTGATAGGACTTGCACCGGGCAACAGAGGCTGGGCAAGTGATGCATGGAACGGAGACATGTTTTTTGGTGAAACTAAGTTCTAAAGAAAAGGTTTTTGAAACGAGGTGATGGGGTGAAGAAGCCTACTTATGATCCCGAAATCTTGCGTCGGTGCACTTGAGTAGTTTATTGGTTGGTACCAAGCGGGACGGCGGCGACGAGGGCAATCCGCAGAGACCATGTTGGCAACAGAAGCCAGAAGGATCCTTGTGGGCAGGAACCAAAAAGAGGAGCAGCGCTATCACGGGCTAGCTAGAGCCAACAAAACACAGGCCGCGCAATCTCAATCAATCACGAATACTGAACGGGCGAGACAAGAGAGGGCAAGCCGAAAGTACAGTACAGCCCGCCCGCACCAAATTATTGTTTTGAACGAGAGCAATATTTCGTTCTATTGTTATTGCAGATTACTGGCATATTGTGCAATTTTCGAACTCTCATACTAATACTACTTGGTTATGCGTGCATGTGTGTATATTGTTGTTGTTTCCTTGTTGGCTGGAATATTATTGTGCCTGTCCAATCACTACAAATTTGTTGCGTCTGCGATCTCCCACGGCATGTCCTCGTTCGTCATACATGACTCCATTCGGTGACATGTACGCTTCTCTTTCATCACAGGGACACAGCAGACCCAACAACGCCAAAGGTGCCGCGATCATGAAACAGCACCAAAAGAGACCACAGCCAACGCCTGTTTTCAAATTTAAAAAAAAGAAAAAGAGGAAAAAAGAGGGTCAGAAAAGAAGGTTTTCGTTCCCACTGTTTGCGGTTTGTGTGGTTATATATTCTCACCTCCAATGATCCCCCAGGTTTGGTTGCCACTGTACTTCATGCGCACCCATTGGCCACCGGGTGGGGCGTTGGGTGGAATCGGTCGACCACCAAAACTAGGTGGCGGGGGCGTCATGGCTCCATTAGCAGCGGCTTGTCCTTGTACCGCCGGTGGCTTGGCTTGAGCAATGTCTCCGGCGACAATGGCCGGTTGTGGGGTAGGGGTGGCAGTGGGTTCATACGAGGCGGCATACCCCGGCACGGTGGCTGGGGGAGTCTCGCCCAGAACTGAGGCAAACGCCACCGGAATATCTGGTTCATCGTTGGCGATAGGGGCGCCCTTGACAGGAGGGCTGCTGGCGGTTTGGCTGGCTGTAATGGTCATGGTGTGTGTTGATTGTTGGTTATCTTTCAGCTTCTTATATTCTAAAGTGTTGTGAGGTTGTTATCTGAGCGTATTCTGTGCAAGCTTCGTTGGAGGGAGGGAGCAAGATTTTGGCGATCTGTGACACGGAATCGCTTTGATTCACTCGTGGAAGGAAGTAAGTGAAAGCGGTTTTGGACGCAACACGACTCCAGCACCTCCACGGGATCGAATACCCCATCCTTACGATGCAAGATGGGGGAAGATGGGCACATTGTAGTAACTTTTGTTTGAAGCTACTAGTAGCTACATGTACCTGGTACTGTACCGGCCCAAAGACGGCTGGAGGATTCATCATTCGAGGGCCGCTTGCTTGGTTCGTGGTTCGTGGCCGATTGAAAATACGCGAAGGAGAGATGATTGCTAACTAGTAGCGGTAATCGAGCTGTATCTTTTCCGCTCCTAGGATGATCCTGTTCTCACGTTTGCTTGTTTGTAAGAGATGCCTTCATGCGATTTCTCTCTGGTACGTACCTTTTACCTACTAGAGGATGCCATGTCACCGCTTGGCACCCATTCAATCTCGAGGCATTACCACTGGTAACAGGTACGCTACCAGCCACAGATGGATGGATGAGCTACGGGTATGGATGGCAGGTTGGCTTGGCTGGGCTGAACGGTACCGGTACCGGTACCGGTACCACATATGACACACCCGTGCCCTCTGTTCGTAGCTTTTAGCCCTTCCCCTAAAAGCAGAATCCACGACAAAAGATCCGTATATTGACTCGACTGTCACTCGACTCATCACCACCATTGGACGAATCGAATCAGGATTCGTGTCGTGGATACGTCGAATCCTAATTAGATTTTGGAAGCGTTTTCAAAAATGCATTAGAGCTCAAAAAGGAGCTCTAATGAATTTTTGAAAACGCTTCCAAAAATTAATTAGAATTCGATTCATCCAGGCTCAAGTCGTCATTCACTCATTCACTCCAAGGAAGAAATGCCCCTACAAGAAGAAACCAACTAACTGTGCTGCGCTTTGCAGCTGCCGCCTTTTAAAAGTGTTCTCTTCGGCGACGACCATGATGAAGCGAGAAGTCAACCTCGGCGCTCTTCGGAGGGGAGATCCTACTGCAGTTTCCACGGCAACTCATTTCCTTCGGCAAGATGGCTTTGTTTTTATCGAAATGACGACAACAGCCCATGGAGACGTGCGTGATGATGAACTCCTCGAGCAGTTCAGAGAACCCTTCCAACAAGCAGCTGATTTCTTGCAAGGTCCCGCCCGCGGAAAGGGATCACGAGATGCCATGGTCCTTCATGGACATGTTTCACACCGCTACAAGGATTCTCTCCGGCTCTTGTCTGGGAACCAGTTTGCCACCAAGAGCAACTGTCCCTTCGAGCTGAAGAAGTCCCTGGAAACTCTCGTACATGCCATGGATAACGCAGCACAGGACATCACTCAAGCGTTGGCTCAACATTTGTTCCAATTGCGATCAGCAGAGGAAGTCGGAAGAACGTTTCAGTTACCCTTGCTGGATACCAAAGCAGCCGACGGTGCCAACTATGGACTTGTGGACTTGGTGTGCTACCACAATGATGCCGTTACCCCCGAGGTTGTCGTTGCAGCTCATGAAGATCCAGGGCTGCTGATACTTGCGCTACCCGAAATGGCTCCCGGATTACAGCTACTAGCCGGTCCAGATGAGGAAAACAATGAGTGGGTGTCGCCGCCTCCTGGGATGGGTGTCTTGTGGGCCGGCAAGGCAGCACAAGGCTATGCACGCCCCTGTTCACATCGCGTTGTGACCAATCCAGGCACACCACGTATCGCTTGTTGGCACGAGATCTGTACCTGTGGACAAATCTGCCAGCCTCTCTTGGAACGCATGGAGGCCAACCATCAAGAGTTGGTGTATAAAGTGGCTGTCAATGATGTCGATGGCAACGCCAAATGCATGGTCCAAGGAACCAAGGCTGTGCTGGAGCATCTTCGTCAATCCGAAAACCACGACTATCCTTCGTTGCCACAACCGCCGCCCACTTGGATTGAAACCGTTTTTTTGAGTGTTGCTTCGTTGTGGCGGGCAGGGAAACCCGATCCTTCCAGAACTACGCAGAAGCTCTCGGCGGGTGTCCCCGTTCCAGACACAGTCGGGTTGCCTCCAGATGGGAAAACGAGCGCATTGTCCGCAAACGAGCAAAACAAACAGAACCTGCCTTCGCTGCAGCTACGAGACAAAAACGACAGCCAAAAGAATGAGAATGGAACAGCTTCTACTACTTCCCCAAAGAAGCTGTTTGACAACAATGGCCTCGGGTACACTGTGACCGTCGAACCAATATCGCGCAAGGCTGGAGTCCCAGGACCAAAGGTTGAGGAAGTCACTATCCGTGTAACAGTTCGGAAGAATCAGCCCAAGATCTTGGGGCTGTTTCCTTTTCCCTCATTCTTCTCTGGGCGGGGCAAGTAGTGCAAAAGCCGTACCGGTACATAGCGAGACAGCGAATGCTGTATCATCCTCGTCATCTTCTAGCTAGCTATTATAGCCATGTTCAGCTCAGATCCCAGCATCTTTGCTACGGATTCCACGGCAACACAATGGTGCAAACTGCGAGTAGCGGTACTCTAGTACCGGTATGATCGGCGCAAGCTTTGATTAGGAAAAGTGTGCGTCTGAACTGACGTCACCTTCTCCTTCTGAGTCACAGCGAGGAAAGATCTTCAAACAGCAAGAAGCGAGCACTTGAGCATCAGACGAAGCAACCCCATTGCAATCATTGTAGCTACAGCTGAAACTACAGCGAACATATCACAGACGAAGATGAGGCACTCTCTAAGTTTCGACCTTCTTGTTTTGAGTTGGATTGCATCGACGGCCCATGGCTTTGGAATCTTTTCCAAGTCGCCATCCAAACCAGCGACCAATTTTGCAAAGGCGCCACAATCGAAATTGACATTTCTCCAATCTTTGGAAACACTCGATACAATGAATGCTGCAACCAAAGAACGGACCCAAATGGTCCGAGACATGACCAATGACAATCCAACGTCGCAACCAGGATCCAAGGAAGGATTCCAACCGTTTGCGGCGGGATTGTGGAGTGTGATTTATGCCCCTCACATCACCACCATGTCCAAACTGGTGGGGAGAGGATTTACACCCGTATGGTACGATCTCAAACAAGATGGAACCATGATATCCCATGCCAGATTTGATGTCAAGCTACCTCTGTTGCCTGAAAAGAGTGGTTGGCTTTCGGTCAGTGGTACCTACGGTACCCAAGACGACAACCGAGTGTGTCGAGTGGATTTTGACAAGGCGTGGATCAAGTGGAACGACGATAATAACAACACCGAGGACGCGCCGTATCCCACACTGGAAGATGTTGCGCCCAGTTTAGAAAAGACCATTATTCAGACGCTGGGAAAATGGCTGTTCATTGATAGCTTTTCGGTATTCCCTGTTTCCTACCTAGACGATGATCTGATTGTCTTTGATTTTGAACTTTTGGGAACCAGAATATGTGCCAGAAAAATCAAAAAGGAGACGCCGTAATGGAACAGGAGCCGAACAAGCAAACAACAATACACTTGCAGCACAGCAAGTACCGTACCGGTATCTCAACACGATAATATTCAAACCTGGTCGCATTGCTTCCAAATGAAGTGCTGATAGTAGTACCTTTCAATGGATGCTCGACATTTATTTAACCAAAGAAATTGTAGCGATAGAAGTTTGGGAAGTGACGCATACGGTAGAAGAGAATGGGCACTCGCAGCTCCTCGCGCTTAAATAAATCCTCATTTCGTCCGACAAGACTGCGATGCAACGAAAATTTAGTAAAGGGTGGAGGCAATTTCTTGTGGACAGCAAAGTTGGGAACTCGATCCACAGGTTGAATGATTCGATTCAATCCAAGGCAGAAAACCAGCTTTCAGACCATGGCATTCTTTCACAAATTTCGTCTCCTGGAGACGATTTGCTTTAGGGGTAATGGTACCGATGGGGGCAGAGGTTTGAATTATACCCGGCGCGCATTACTTAGAAGGCCCTGTAGAAGTCTACGTATTCGACTATCTATTATTGTATTGACGGGATAAGTCAACGCATGTACATGCACATGAAAGTCGCCTTGCGTTCTTCACATTTTAAAAGTTGGCTCCTAATTTCGGTCGCCTGTGATTGATGATTGCGCTTGATCTTTTTCAATGACGACATTGAATGACGTACAGGCAATGCAATCTCAAAGGTAGTGTAGTAATAAAAGTTTTATATATAGATTAATTACCCTATATCCCTACCGTTATACTTATAGAGCCAAGAACCCGTCTTCTCGCTGGAACATTCATCGTATTGATCTTCTCCTAGGACAGAAAGCCCAATAGTATCCTTAAATCTGTCAAGCATGTCTCTCATTCGTGTGGCATGGCAAAGTTCTTTGGATCCCAATCCAGCTTCTTCAATAAGAAAAATAAAAAAAAC